TGGAAAAGACCCTGATGCTGGGAGAGATTGAAGGCAAAAGGAGAAGGGGACGGCAGAGGATGAGATGGTTAGATAGCATCACTGAAGCAATGAGCATGAAACTGAGCAAACTCAGGGAGGCAGTGAAGGACAGAAAGGCCCGGCGCGATATGGTTCATGGTGTCACGAAGAGTCAGACACAGCTTAACGACTGAACAACAACACATACACACACAGTATATACATATATGCATGCATATGCACACTAAAAACACTTGGCAGGTAACTCAACTAAGCCCCTGTTCCAAATGCGACGTTTTTCTCATCACAATGTACACAGCACCTATACTGAAGGGTACTGCAGATGGTTTTTAAAATATATACTGTAAATAAAACCAAGACCTCCTCAAATAAAATATAAAATTATAGAATATAGGTTTCCATGGTTACGATCTAACAATGAAGTGACTTCCAGGGAATGACATATTCATTGTCTCATATGGCATTACCTAGAAATCATTTTGCCAATAAAATGCATTACTTTCTTTCTAAATATGGTAAAGCAAACAATATGTAGCAGCACTTGTTTCTTTTTGCCTTTAGCATGTCAATCCTCTTGTATGTATTAACACATCATGAAACATACCTGGGCAATATCATCTTTATATTGTTACTCAGATGATTAGCTCTATGCAGGTGATCAACCAGGTGACACGAGGGATAAATGTTTGACATTCGATAAACCGTCACACAACTTTAAAAGGGGATAGGAGTTCAGTGCATAGGCACAAAGAGCATTCCAAAGTCCCCAATATAATGCCCATGAACATTAGGAGATATGGGCAAAACATTTTGAGCTGGAAAATTTTTCTTTCTGTTCAAAGCAGCTATTTTGAAACATATTTTCCAACCATTTTGAAACTGTTTTGAGCTCAAAGTATCTGTTTTGAGGTTGAAATACTTCCCAAACGATCAGAACTCAAAGTGCTTCAAACTCAAAATGGAGCATTTTGAACAGAAATGTCTTAATTTGAAACTTTTTGCACACTCCTAAATATTAGCAAGTTTGCATGGCACCTACTGTCTCCCTACTTTCTGACTGAAGGGTGTACATGTGGATGTATGCATATTCATACAGTATCTACTAGAAAGCTGGCATGTTGCAAAGGAAAGGACTAGCCTTCACACTACCTTTATTTTGAAAATTGTCTCTAGGCCCCACGGGGAGAAAACTACAGGGAGATGCTTGCTTTTCAAAGCTATGATTAGTGCAATCAACATCTTGTTTATGAATACAAAGCAGCGAATGTAAAGCCCACCTTATCCAGGCAAGAGACGTCTTGACATTTCATCTAACATAATTTAAGGTAAAAATATGTAACAAAAGAGCTTTCTAGAACTTTTTAATGTAATGCATAACATTTCATTAATTTTTATAGCTCTGCTAGACAAACACCACCATAATAGGCTAAGCTTTGAAGAACTTTGAACCTAGATGTGCAAATAATTCATTAGAGCTGAGGGCCAGCCTGATAAAATAATATAAAGGAGTAAATCACTTATTAAATAGCATAATGGAGCTGTGTAAACACACAGAGTCTAAACCACCCCAAGACAACCATAATATAAATTAAATTATGAGCAACTAACAATCCAATGGCCAATGCTATCCGTGCTATCACATACATTTTTGTCATATTATATGTAACAAAGTCCTTTTTTCTGATAGCAACAGGAAACATAGTTTAGTTTAGGAAACATAAACTTGCTGTGATTGAATTGAAAAATGCAACTGATAAGGTGTAACCTATTTGGTGTGGTAATCTCTATAAAAGTTACAGTAGAATAAAACATGAGCATAAGCCAGTTTGGCTTATGAGCATAAGACACCAGGCTAGAAACCAGGCGACCGGGAGGTCTAGTCCCACCATAGGCACAAAGTCAGCTGGGTGACTTTGGGCCAGTCACTCTCAGCCCTAGGAAAAAGTCTATGGCAAACCAACTTGGAAAATGTTGCCAAAAACCTGCATGGATTGTCCAGGCAGTCACCAGCAGTTAAGACTAACTGAAGGTACAAAAACAAACAAATAAATAAATAAAACCTCTGGGCAGTATTTTCTTTCATTCCTACACCACAAGTGTAAACATGTTCTTTACAGCAGATGTTTTAAAATCTGTTCTCTGGGACTACTAATGGAAGCACATCAACTTTTATATATAAAATGGAATACATATATGTTGATGCGCTTCCATTAGCAGTCCCAGAGAGCAGATTTTAAATATATATATATGCTTTCCTGTCTTTGGGGAATAAAGGAAATAGCTGGCAGGTTTTCCTACATCGTATTTGCTATTTTTAAATGGAATTCACAAAATGCATGGGAGAGAGACCAGAAAATCTTGGCTCTATTATGTCCATGATCCTGCCCTGACCTCTTTCATCACTGTCCTCCCCAATACAGATCTCACTACCCCCTAACATATTAAATATGGCCCTTGGTCAACAAAATATTGTCCCTCATGGCTTCTACCATTACAGGTGTGCATAAGCCTTTGAGGACTAACAACATACAGATAGTCCTTGAGTTAGCACAGTAATTGGAACTGGAATTCCTGTCATTAAGTGATGTGGACGTAAAGTGTGATGTCCATATCACTTAGCAACAGCAATCCCAGCAGTCCCTGTTGCATCATTATTGGAATCCTACCAGTTGTAATCCATTCATGGCTTGGTCCCTCCCATCCCCGAGGTTCAGTAAGGTAAGGGACTGCCTCCTCTGGTTCCTCTTCAATTCCCCCACCCACCTATCTCCCCCCATCTCTGCCCTTTTGGCCGCCCACATACCCGCTGCCGCCCAGCCCTGCTTGCCAAACCATGCACCACTACTAGACTAGCCAGAGGTTTTTTTCATTCCTCCTTCTTTTGCGCTGGTGCAGCCAGGGCTTCTCTTGACCCCACCCAGGGCCTCTGTCTGCCCAGAAGCCAGGGCCTTCTGTCAAAAACCAGACTTCTTTTGTGAAAGAAGGCCCTGGGCAGGGCATGAATGGAGGCCCTGGCTGGCACATGAACAGAGGCCCTGTGCGGAGGCAAGAGAAGCCCTGGCTGCACTGGTGCAAAAGGCCCCAGTAGTGGCCCACAGTAGTGGCGCATGATGCAGCAGGTGCAGCAGCAGGCAGGGCCAGGTGGCAGGGGCAGCTGGTGGCAGTGGGTAGAAGGGCAGTCAAAAGGTGGTCATAAATGCAGGTAGGCCTGAGTGGGCCTGAGTTTAATTCATGTGACCCACAGGGGCACTGCAACAGCCGGAACTTTGAAGACTGGTCATAAATCCCTTCATTCAGTGCCACTGTAATTTTGAATGGTTGCTGAACAAATGGACATTAAGCGAGTACTACCTGTACCTTCTTATTTGTGCTACAACAGCTTTCTGGAAACTGTTATCCATTCTGTTTTATCAAGGAAACAGTGATTTAACTTGCTCCAACCACTATACCATACTGATGATCTACTTTAACTTAAGACTATCTAGTTTGGTGTAGAGGTTAAGGCACTGAGCTGAAAACCAGAAGACCATGAGTTCTAGTCCTGCCTTAGACTCAAATCCAGCTGGATGACCTTAGACGAGTCATATCCTCTCAGCCTTGGAAGCAAGCAATGGCAAACCACTTCTGAACTCTTGCCAAGAAAACTGCAGGGACTTGTTCAGACAGTTACCAGGAGTCAACAATGACTTGAAGGCATACACACACAAAAAAGCTATCTGAATCAATCCAAGAGCTGAACGGACAGAATCAATACAACGCAGTCAGAGGCTAATCACAGGTAGCTGAATTTCTTTGAAGTTGCTAAATTGTATTAAATATTCATCAGTTGCCAGACTATAACATTTAAAAATAAATTCTTGATATGTCATCAGCACTCCCATCAAGAAGGAGGAAAGGACATGTTTATTTCTTCCTGAGAAGAACCAGAGAAGTTTTAAAGAAAAGCTGAAATGCAGAAATAGTCCTCCAGGAGCAAAGCTTTCTTTGTGGCTTTTAGACAACTGAAAGGCAGAGGCTTAGAGGATCCTACAGCACAGCTGCTAAAGATATGGGAAACCAGGCAGAAAACATATTTAAGAACAAAACACACTGGTGGTTTAGTATCTTCTTTGAAGCATCAGCCCATTCTCTGGATAAAAATAATAGCACACAAAACAGTATACATTTAGGTTCCAAAGAGTATTTTATAGCAAACACATGTGCACTTGAATTTTTACAAGGGAAGTCATAAATGTTAATAATATCCAGAGCACCATTATGTCTGAGTTCTTGCTTAAAGCCATACAGAATTTAGTGTATAACTATATTACTTATAATTTTATTTTGAACCTTCACCAGTCAGCCTTTGCATTCCAAGTTCTAAACTGAACTGAAGCAATAAATATAATTCCTAACAGATTACCTTTGCCAGTACAAATGTTATTATTCACAATATGAATGCTCAGAATGATTGCTGTTTCTTTAAAATTACATATGTATTTATCTATACCCACACATTACACCACTAAACTTTTTCTTCTTTTAGTCATTTTTGTTTTG